TACGACATGATCTAATTCTCATTTTTTACGATCCGATCGACCAATTCCATCATGATTTTATAAGCATGTCAAATAAAGAATCTGAAATGCTGCTTGTACACGACATGATCATCACATCTTCCACATCTCTTCCCAACACTTGCCAATCCCGTCCACCACCTTTTTCCTCTTGAAAACCCCTCTCAGCACCAGATCCCATGTGGCCATCTCCGGCACCAAAAACTTGCCCAGCATCACCACCACCATTTTCCCAGCGCCGCCCACCCTCCCCCTCTTAATCAGCCTCACCACTAGCCCATCCATAAACTCCCTCCCCTTTCCCCCGTCCTCCCCTCCCTCCACCAGGAGGGCTTTCAGAAATATGTCGCACGTCACCGGATCCGGGTCGCACCCGCGATCCAACATCCGGCCCAACAAGTCCATGGCCCAGCCCACGTTGCCCTCCTTCAGCAGCCCGTCGAACAGAACGTTGTAGGTGACGGCGTCCGGGTCTGCGTCCCCGCCGGCGAGCATGTCGTTGAGCAACCTCATCCCTCCGTCGGCCATCCCAGCCCCGCACAGCCCCTTGATCATGGAGGTGTAGGCGACCACGTCCGGGGCGCACCCGCGGCCCAGCATATGCTTCCACACCATCATCCCGTCCTTGAGCCTCCCGGCTTCGCACATACCGTTGATGAGCACGCTGTAGCTGATGGCGTTGGGCTCGCACCCGCACCCCACCATCTCCTTCCAAGTCTCCAGCGCCCGCTCGACGTTGCCGGACTTGAAGTGGCCCCTCATCATGGCGCTGAAGGTCACCACGTTCGGGGAGCAGCCCTCCACGGTCATTTTGGCGAACGCCTCCTCTGCGGCCTCCATGCGGCCGTGGCGGCAGAGGCCGTCGATGAGGGCGGTGAAGAGGACCGCGTTGGGCCGCACCCCCTTGGACGCCATCGCCTCCCACACCCTCGCCGCCTGGTCCACGTCGCCGCAGCGGAAGAAGCCGGTGACGAGGGCGGAGTAGACGAATTCGTTGGGGCGGACGCCCCGCTGCTCCATCTGCTCGGCCACTTGGTGGGCGTCGGACGGGCGACCGAGCTCGACGAGGCCGTGGACGATGGCGCCGCAGGTGACCTCGTTGGGGGCGAGGCCGTCGCGGGCCATGCGATCGAGGAGGCGGAAGGCGGCGGCGAGGCGGCCATGACGGCAGAGTGCGTGGAGGACGGTGTTGTAGGTGGGGAGGGACGGGGGGCAGCCCTTGAGGAGCATGTAGCGGACAAGGTTTGTGGCGCGGGGAAGGTCGCCAGAGCGGCAGAGGGCAGCGATGACGGCGTTGAAGGCCGGGGCGGCGGGGGGGACACCGTCGAGGAGCATCTCGTCGAGAAGGGCGAGGGCGTCGGTGAGGTGGCCGGCGGCGGCAAGGGCAGCGATGAGGGTGGAGTAGGAGTAGGCGTCGGGGCGGAGGCCACGTAGTGGAAGGTGACGGAGGAGGTGAATGGCGCCGGGGAGGTCGCCGGAGCGGCAGAGGGACTTGAGGAGGAGATTGAAGGTAAGGAGGTTGGGAGCAAGGGAGGGGTGGCGACGGACAGCGGAGGAGAAGAAGGAAAGTGCGAGGCGGTGGTCGTGGTGGCCGCCGGGGGCGGAGAGGAGCGCGGAGAGGGCTGAGTTGAGGGAGCGAGCGGAGGGAGAGCAGCCGAAAGAGGGGAGCAGGCGGTGGAAGAGACGGACGGCAGCGAGGGGGCGGCCGGCGCGTCCCAGAGCGCGGAGGATGGGGATGAAGACGCGCTCGGAGAAGGGCCGGGGCCGCTCGCGGCGCATTCGGGCGAGGAGGCCGCGGAGGGCGGGGAGGTTCGGGGGCTCGCGGTCGGCATAGGCACGGGCGAGGGCGAGGTATGTGGCATCGCCCTGGGTGTAGCCGCCGGTGCGTCGGGCGGAGCGGAAGATCTCGTCGGCGAGGGGCGGGCCGGAGTCGCTTGCGCTGGCGTCGAAGTCGTTTTCGTTTCCATCGGAGTCGCATCCGCCTCGGCCAGCGGCAGGGGCGGAGGAGAGGGCTCGGCGGAGCTTGCTGGCAGCAGAGGGCCGTGAGAGATTGCTGGATAGCATAAATCGGGTGGATAGCGGGGTTTGAAGGGTCAAGGGCGAGGGGCATGGTTAGATTACGCGGAGCGATCGGGCATTGCTTGTCGCTGGTAGAAATAGTTAGGGTTTTATGTCGAACAGCCATCAAAGGGAAAGAGAGGAGAGGAGGAGGGAGAAACTTGGGCCACTAATCCGGCCTGATTGGGCCTAATGAACCAGGCCTCATTATTTTAATCGTTTAATTACATTCCTACCACGGTGTCACACACCGTAAAAATCAAGCAGGTCCCCCCGCCTTCGGTTTCAAAAACCCCCAACAAACCTCGCTGGAGTCGTTTTCCTCCTCAATTATCCCGCCCTTCGATCTTCCCCCCAAAACCCTAACGTGCACCTTCTTATCGCTCTTTCCGATCTCATCTTTCTCTCGCTATGAATCGAAGGATTCGGAGCCCAAACGCTAAGCTCTCGGCCTCCCAGATCGAGGAGCGGCACCACCGGTTCCTAAAGCCCGGCGCCCTTGCGCGCCTCCGAGACTCCAGGATCAGCACTGCTAGATCGCCCCGATCCCTCTCCCACCCCCGCCTATCGCCCCCGTCCTTCCCCTCCTCTGCTTCGCCGCCCGCTGCTGCTCACGACTATGGAATTCCTTTCTTTGCCGCTCGGGCCCGCGGCCCGCGGTTCCCGCAGCGGAAGAAGCTCGCCGCCGCCAAGTCGATCTTCTTCGCTCCCTCGAGCCCGGAGTTCAACGAGTTCTTCTTGGACGCCTTCGGCACTGATATGGTTGCTGCTCATTAAGCTAGAAGGGTTTCCGCTGTGGATCTTCTTTCCTTCCGATCGTTTGGTTCGGATGTGCGTTGGGTTTGATAGATCGAGACTTAATAACAGCAGAGGTTGTGGTCTAGGGTAATTCTGTGTAGATCTGATGTGGGAAATGTAGAACATTTTTTCTTAAAAAGAGCTAACCTTTGTTCTCATTCTATAGGTGGATTACATCATGGCTTATTATTACTTCATGCTAAACAAGTTTCTGGTTCTGGTGATGTTTGTTAGAAACTATGTGCCTTTACTAGGCTTTTAAATCTGCAAAGTTGAGCTGATTTGATCGATTATTGGCAGCACCTGCATAATTAGTTTTTCATTTGTTTGATCAGAATGTTAATCACTTCTTCTGTTGCAGTTCTATCTATGAACTGGAGTTCGTAAGTTCTCTATCTATTTATGAATGGTTAATGTACAGTTGTAGAACAAACATTGGCTAGATCTTGTACTTACTTTCACCGACATACAGAAGCTGCTAGTTCTGACTCGTTAGGCTTTTTTCCTATTAAGCAAAGATACTGTTTCATTATTGCGTAATGAATGCTTGATTGATACTTGCGTGATTATATGCAACTATTTATGCCTCTGATGAGACACTCTAGAAAAGTGTTTGTTAATTGCAAGATTTATGGTCATCATTTTTCTTGTTACTGCAAGTTTAATTTGTTCTTCTGCTTTATGGTAACTTTTGGTATTTCCATCTGTTTAACAAAAGCACACACCACCAATCTTCTTGTGAGAAAAGTGATTAACATTCTTATAAATCGTTTGCAAGAACATCTCCGTATTTAAGATATTGTTGCTGGGATTAAATACTAGTAGAACTTTCAGGATAGTTGTCTACTCTTATTTGTTGTTTTCGTAAATAATAGTGCCCTTACATATTTGTATATTTTTACAAATGGGATGTGTTGTTTGATGGTTAAAAATATGTTCAAAGGTCTTGTTTAGTGACTACCAATCATGCAAAAGTATCTTATGTGTGACATCACTTAAACTATACTTATTACAAGAAAAGTTGGTAGTCTCAGCACATAGTCAAGATTATGCTGTCTAAGCTCTATTCATGTTGTTTAACTTTTGCAAACTGACTTGTTAAATAAATTATCTTATCCTATCCTTGAAGTTTTATCATTTTAAAGAGGTTAGACATTTCTGAAAAGCGCATTAATTCGGGGTTTGTTGTGATATGGTTTTAACTTATAGCAAGTTCCTTTCCTCTTCTCTATTCTCTAGTCAATAAATTATAATATGCACTCTAGTAGTCCTCTCAAGTGAACTAACTACCACAGTTTAATTTTTGAGAATAGTATTTTCAACCTGCGTAATTTCATCCAATCAACTCTTTAGAACCGTCTCTTTGGAGATCAATTAGCTAATACTATGCTTGGAATCTTGCCAATGTTGTTTAGATTCTTGCCTGCAATCTGTCAGCTTATCGAGTTATCATTATCTGATTAGAAAAGGCATCTCCATTATTACTGACCCATAGTGAGGTAAGTTGTTCCCTTTGTGCTTTTCTAGGTTCCACTGAAGCCTGAACATGACCAGCAACTTATTTCCACAACAGAAACACCTAATATATCTCATATAAGATCACTTGAAATACAATCCATTTCACTGCTATGTGATTCTCTTGTCTTGATCACCACCATGTTTCTTTTAGTGGATCTGCTCTGTGTACATTAAACACGAATCTGGTGTAGGCAAGGGACCTCCATTACTGGTCATGCCTCTGTATATCTTTTCTTATCGGGCGTGATGTTATGTCACAAGTTCCTTATTACTATGTATAGCCAATCGGTTTGTTAAGCTATTTTCTTGAGTGCTATTTTTCCAATTATCTTTACAACTCAATTTGTTGCAGGCTCTTGATTGCACTTTCACGGTCACTTATTTCCATTTTTGTTGAGTTTTGGTTCATGATACTGGATGTGGTTTTTCTTAATGGGCAAGTTCATACTGATTGAGTTATTCTACGAAACATTTATGGATTCATATTTGACTTCTATAAACTGTTTTAGTTTTTGGTAACTCCTGTTTCATTTTAATGTTTGCTTAAAGGGGATTAGACATCTGAATTATATATTAGCATAGTTATATAAATTTGCACGGAAGAAGTTGCCACATAAACAGTTCAGATTCCTCTTATTTGTACTAAAAGGAGATGAAAATTTGAATGCTTCCATTCATGTTGCCTTACTATGACTTTCATAACCTACATTGGCTTAGCACTTTATGGTAAACATGCTTAAATGGCAGCATATGACATGTTAATTGCTTATTCAATCTACAAACTCACTGGTTTCATAGACACCTTGATGTATGTCTCTGATGCACTGTCTATTTTGTAAATGCGAATTGCAGGCTTTCCTTTCAAAGACCATTGGTTCTAGCTTTTCCACAATTAAATGAGCATCTCCAATGTTCTCTACAATTTTCAGTTATGCAGATGAGAAGAATTTGCTGCTCCAACTATAGTGAGTGTGGAGAATTTTGCTTTAACTACCACTAAGGACATGATATTGCTTTCCTTTATACACAAACATTTTTTTCTGAATATGCTAGTAAGTTTCTTACAGTTGGTTGAATGTATCAGTAAGGTGCCGTTGCAGTTTAATCTGGGGATACATTTGTTCAATGTGATGATTCATTTTCTTTCATCATTTGTGCATTGTCACTATGCAAGAGATATGAGTCCTGTATGTTTGTATATATCTAAAAAATATATATGTTTCCCTCTATACAAAAACTCTGCTGTTCATCTTGTACGTTTGTTTATCCAGGTTTTTACCTCCACATCTTTGATGTCATTTTGGTCAAGAACAATATGCTAGTTGTTTCCATCTTTTACTTATATAATTACCTGATCCAATGTTTTTGTGCTGTAGGAATTCATAGCCAGTCACAGTTCAGATGCAAGGATTCCCTGGAACATTTCTGTATTGATTTGGTGACATCGATAAAGCCTGCCCTGTGAAGTATGGGTATCCATAAAGCGATCCGTGGGGAGTCAACTGAGTGGTCGCACAAGGTGAAATGCTTGCCAGCGGGGGAGTAGACAATGAGGGCATGGCTTGACTAACTGCATGTTATCCTTATTAGGATGCTGATGTTCAATAAAAACACATTGGATGCCTACTGAAATTACTACAAGAATCTAACAAAAAGAAGTTTCAAGAAATTTGAGCAAGCTAGGTCTGAACAACTGCAGAGGATGCTGATGTTCAACCATAAAACATTGGCTTTCTACTGTCTTTGCAGCTACCAAAAAGAAGCTTAAAGAAATCTGTACAAGCCAGGAAGGTAATATGTAGTAAGACCATCTAAACTTTTCTTTATCTGCTGGTGTTGCTTTGATCTCCTGATCCTATGGTTCATATAATGTGCCCGGTAGGGTCATCCTTCACTTTCAAAACAGTATACTGTTGGTTGTCACTGTTTTTAGAGCGTACTTCAACTAATCACCGGATTGTTTTGGCTTTCTTGAACGATATTCATGAAAATTGTGCTGTGGTGTTCCCTCGTTCAATTGCAAATGATGGAGTCAATGCCCTTTCTTAGTTAAATTGGACTTGTTTTTAATCCATCTTCTTGCATATGAAATTATTGTTTAACATTTACTGTATTGCTCTTTGAACACAATGAAATTTATGTGTATACAGTTAATGATGTGCGGAATTTCTCGACAACAAAGATGAAGACGAAGCCTACTACCCTCAGCAATCAACTCTCATTCTGTTCTCTCACACGGCCGTGGCTTTCTTGGCAGCTTCCAGGTTTGAGGTGATATTTTTAGTATTACTCATTTTTTTATTCAATGAAAATGTTAGGTGAATATTAAACAACCTTCACCTGTTTTTTAAGTCTAATCTAACCTAAGTCCTAATAATAAAAATTATTAAACAAAATAAATGAAATTTAAACTTTTCTAAAATAGAGATTTTAGCAGGGTGATTAAGATCAAAACACAACAGTGGCCTAACATGGATCATGGCACCAACACACTGTAGAGAACAATTCCAACATGTCAGGGTAGCCATCATCAGCCAATTCTTAAGCTACAAACCATACACATGGTTGGCTCGTACACTTGTACCTGCATGTACATGTCTGTCTTCACGTACTTGTTGCCATTGACGGCTGGCTGTTGCTACCCTCACAGATACGGCATTCCTCACAACCTCCATCCTTCTCATGGATACTGCTGGATAGAGAGAGAGAGAGATAATTCTGCAAAACGTTACAGGCTGCCAAATATACTAAGAACAAGGGAAAGGTTTTATACTCTAGTTTAGTCTCATATCACTTATTAAATGAATCGGTCGATTATCTAGTTAAAATAGATCATGAGAAAGCAAGTTCTTTATGTGAGAGAGAGCAGTTGTGAGTTCTCATGAAATCCACGGAGAAAGATGAAGCATAAAGAAGCAGAACATGTTACTTCCTATGCTCGAGTCAAATTTTGTTGAGAGCATGGCAATTCCTACAGTTAATGTTGGAACTCTTCAAATCTCTGATGACTATTTTGTAGGTAGAACCAGCAGCATTCCCAAATCATAATGGAGACCAGACTGGGTTTTGTCAGCTGCTCATTTTGGCAGCCACAACTCCCACCATATTTAGTCACGATCTGGAAAAGAACTCCTTGAACCCCTCCAAACCGACCCTTTATTGCCTCCAAAAGCCCACCCCGCGTTTTGACTCCCCGAGAATAGTCTTGCAGAAATAAGAAGGAGACGGTTTGGCACTCGAGATATAAAAGGCATGGTTCGAGTGCATCGACATCACTTCTTCTCTGTAAAGATCCTCCCTCCTCCGTGGTGCAACAACGAGCCACAGCTCAAGAACAATGGTGGGTGTGCAGTTAGCTTCCTTCTTCTTGGAGGTGGCGGAGCTCGCCTCGGTCGCGCAAGGCCCCGTTCTCGGCGGTCGCGCCGTGGCGGTTCATGGCCGGCACGAGGCGGCAAGTCCAAGAAGCTACCCTCGATACCATTGTGGAGGACGACGGCGCGGATTCCTCAGAGAACTCGCGTGCTGCTGCTGCTGCAGCAGAAGCTCCGTCCTCTGCACGCGTGTTGAGAGCTCGAGAGAAGGAAGCATCTTCCAGGTGGTGACCTTTATCACCGCGATGGGTGATGCAGGTGTGCGCCATACCGAGGAAGAGATGTGGCATGTGTTGTAGCTGCATATGGTCGTGTCATCTTCCTAGTTTGGAGCGCTTACATGTAGAGTAGATATGAGTTGAAAGTGTCGTAGCTTTGTCATGATTGCTTTAGTTGGATACATCGATATTTTTCTTATGCTCCAATTGGTTCCGTCAACTTAACTGATTTTAATTACATCATATACTATTGTTTTTCGTGACACTAATTCACAAAGGATCGATCTCTCCATATGTGGAGCTGTGACTGCCAGAATGAGCAGCTGACAAAACCCAATGTGGTCTTCATCATAATAATTTGTCAATGCAGGTTCTACAAAAATGTCATCAGAGAGTTGAAGAATGGGAATTTGAGTGAAACATAATTGACCAATTCATGATCTATTTGAATGACATAATTGACCAATTCATTTAATAAGTTATATGAGACTAAACTAGAGTACAAAACCTAACCTATCATCCTTTGTTCTGAGTATATTTGGCAGCCTGTAATGCTTTGGTGCGGTATCTATCTCTTCAGCATTATTATCCATGAGAGGAGAGGGATGGAGGTTGTGAGGAATGCCGTATCTGTGAGGGAAGCAAATGTGTACATGAGAGAGGGATGGAGGTTCTCAGGAATACCGTATCTATCTGTGAGGGAAGCGATAGCTGTCAACGTGTACGAGTACGTGAAGACATGTACATGCTGGTTTCAGTGTATGAGCCGACCACACATGAACATGCAGGTATCAGTTTCGTCTGAGCCAACCAACCATCTGTGTGGTTTGTTGCTTAAGAATTTGACTGGTTATGTAAATCCATCACTGAGTCAAACAAGTTGAGATTAAACATATATATATCGAGTTAAATATCAATTCGATCTAAAATTTTAGATTATAAACTATATATATATATATATATATATATATATATATATATAATATATCATGTGATTCTCTCGATATTTACTATTCTCTTGGTCCTCATTTTTAATTTCTTCTAATATAGAGCTCTTTCTCTTACTCATAAATGTAGGTGGTGCAATCATAGCTTGATCAATAGTATGACTAACTTTGTCTGCATCGTAAACTTGTCTCTAGTTACTAAGCTCAAATCTTTTTTCTTTCTCTCTTTTTTTTTTTATCATTCATACTTTTCTTTCTCCTTTTTTTTAATTATTTTTTATTTTTTAAAGAATTTTTAAAAGAAAAATTTTCATGACTCCGGCATCTGAAGGTGTGTGTCACGCACTAAAGTAACACCTACCTTAAGACTCTTGCAATCCACTAAAAACCTACATAAAGAAGAAAATATTAGAAAGACAAAAATAAACAATATAAAAAAAGGATAAGAAAACTCAATGTCATAAACAACACAAAACAACAACTAGATTTCATTATGCACAAAAATCTATTGTAGATTTCAAAGAAATGTGTAGGTTAAATATTTACCTCACACTTTCTTTCTTTAAAAAAATAATAATAAGCTAAAAAACATTCAACCACTTCTCAATCATAATTGAGGCTTCATCCGATTAAGTATCACTCGAGAGATTCCAAAATGTTGAGATTTTTGTTAAAAAACCTTTTTTCATATTACAAGTTGATCGCCCATCCTCCCACGAACTATACTTACCAAGTAGGCTTCTGACCAAACTGATTTATTAATTGGATTAGTGAATCAAACCACACTGAGTAATATATATATATATATATATATATATATATATATATATATATATATATATAGGTAAAATAACTATATATAAAACACAAGTTATCATCATCAACGAAATGATAGTAGTTCTAAATGTAAATGATTGGTCTTTATGAATTCAACAACTCCAAACAACAAATTCAAGTGTTCAGTGACAAACAAAATGACAAGCATCAAAATTGAGGATAAGACTGCTTAAGATGGAGAACGAAGAGCCACGCCATTGATGTTTAAACCCCTGCCCAGAAGAAGCCATCATCCCTAATCATCGCGGAAGGTCGTCTTCTTCCCTGAAAACGAGTAACCCCATTAACATTATCGAAGTTCAAAAAAACAGCATTCATTTCAGTGTATACCAGTACTAGCTGTACCCATGCTTTGCCTGTTGGGTGTGCCACCGCGACCCCTGCCACCACCTCCCCGACCTCTGCCTCCACCACCTCTGTCACCCCGTCCACCTCTCCCACCAAATCTCCCGCCACTTCCTCTCCCACCAAATCTCCCGCCACTTCTACCAGCGCTATCTCTACCACCACCACCACTCCAGCCACCATCACGGTTATCGCCTCTTGGCTTTGCTTCATCGACTGTCAGGGTGTATCCTCCAAGTTCGGAGCCATTGAGTTCAAGTGCCTGCGTGAAGGCATCTTGATCCTTGAAATCCATATATGCAATCCTGCAACCATAAAACCTTCAATGTCACTGAACGGAAGCAACCATAAATTTAATTTACTCGCATTCTGCCCTTTTCATTTGTGTCAGCAAAAATAACCACTCTTGCACAGATTATACTGGAAATAGATCACAAAAGAAACTGAACGAAATCCAAGTTTAGAAAAGTGACTGGTTACTTTCATAAAACCCACCCAACACAATTATTCATCTCTTCTTTCCAACATTATAAAATTAAGCTAACAATTCAAGAAAATAATCTTGATATATCCTAAGATTCATGACTTGTACACGTTCAAGGCTCATGGTATAATAAACTGTGAATTCTCACCTTAACAAGCACCTTCAGTTGCATCTTATCTACTTCTGGTTTTACAGAAACTATATATTAATTAGTTGGTCTCTCATCATAAACATCAGAGAAATGAGCACATGAAAGGATTTTAATCATCAATAAATTTAAGCTATACCATAATATGCATTAATCCATATTAAAAAGCCTAAAATAGCCAATTCTAGTAACACACAATCATACTGATGTAACAGCAAAACTGGATTGAACATACTGATGTAATCTTTACAGGTAGATTTGGCAAAGCAGATTTAAAAAAGCAAATGTAATGGTTACTAACCCCTTGGATGCACCACTTTCATAATCCTTTGGAATGGAGACTCGTGTAAGCTCTCCACATGACCCAAAATGCTCTTCAAGGGAGCTTCTAATCTGTAATGACTCACAATTAATAAACAATACGAAGGGATAACAAAAGAGGACATAATTTTATAATACCTGATCCTCTTCAAGTGATTTATCAAAGCCTCTCACAAATATGGTTTGGCTCTGACCTGTCCCACCCTTTTGGTGAGAATAATTGTCCTTCCTGTAAAATGTACAAAAAGCCAGCAAGTTTAGGAACTTCATCTTATTTTAGGAGTAAATCTTTGCAACTTTCTCATCTATAGAGTCACTAACAGGGGAAAAAGTGAGGATCTCTGGCACCAAAAGAGAAAAATAGAATCCTACCCATTTATTACATATTATGAAATGCAAACTGGTTGTTTTCTTGCTTCTATGAAGATCTAGACTAGCAAACATTAGCATCTTAACTTGTATCTTCAATTGGCGTAAGACAATCTTTTAGTTGAGAATCCTACCCGTTATTAGGTGTATATGAACCCCTTTCACGGGCCACGTCAAGTCTTACTGCACGACCAAATAGTTCCTGACCATTCATTTCAAGTGCCTGCATAAAGAAAGAAAACCGATAAATATCTATTCATCAAATCAAGTCCACTTCAACAGTTTTTCCTGAAAGCATGTACAGAGAGCATCGCAAGTTCACAACCATCATTGACAATTAAAATCATTTAACTAAAACTTCCAAATAGAATAAAGCAACAAAATATAGCAGTGGCATAAAACCCACAGAGTTGAACACAAGATGTGTTGGGAATAACTGAATATACAACTTAAAAGAAGCAAGATGACCTTTTGAACTGCTTCCTCAGTAGCAAATTCAACATGACCAAATCCCTTAAAACTACCATCATCTGCTCTAGCCATCCGCACATCCACTACTTCCCCGGCCACTTTGAAGAACTCCGATCTTCAAGAGAAAGAACAATCTTAATAAGCTCACAATATCAGTAAATAAACCAAACCCTTCAATCATAATTATATGTCTACTTGTAAAAACATATTTATGCACGTGTAGGTTGATGTAAATAAACACATACAGGTTTACACAAATATGCCTACATGTACATACACAAATCAACGTAAAACAACACACTATGATAAATGATGTTAAAAGATGAAACATACACATCATCCTGTTCAACATTATAGGACAAGTTTCCAACAAATATTGTTCGGGATCCAGTTGTCTGAGTCTGACTTGTAACAGGAGTTTTGGGCTATATCAAAAGGAGGAAAAAAAAACATAAGCCAATTTCATCTACAATAATAAAAATCATAAAATAATTGAGCCAGTAGAGTATACCCCTTTCATTTCAGACTTTCTAGCAATTTGTTTTTCACTCTTCGGAGTTGCATCCACCATTTTCACATCTTTAACCTGCATTAAAACACTTTCAACTTAAAAAAATGATATAAGAAACAAATAAGCAATCAGTATTTGGAAAGGAAATAAACTACTGTTACTCCCACACTTCAATGAAAATTCTCGTTCAGGTTGCTGGTGTTGATGGGGTTGTGTGCTTTTTGTGTGTCCAACCACCAACATGAACAGGTCATATTTCCAGATTAATTCTACCTGAACTATGGTACAGTACCAGGTGTTACCAGACCACACAATGTCATCTGGTACCAACCTTCATAGTCATACAGATTCTTGGACTTGAAAAAACCAAATGGTATGTATCAATCCGACATAATTCAGTGCTACGCATTGAGTTTCAAGGCATACTATTAAAGTCCTTGGATCTGAAATCAGGACGAGCGACCAGATCCAGAACTGACCAAGAAAATAAAACTACTTTAAAGGACAGCTTTTCAAATGGAATTTCTTGCTTTACACACTACAAGTATAGGGTATACAATGGAAATATTCAACTAGTTTAGACCTTGTTTGGATCTGCAGTTTTTGTCACTAGCAATCTTAGATCTGCTAGTTTATTCCCTATCTACTATCCGAAGCATATGCACCTCCATCTAAAAACTAGTACATAATATCTCATTTATATCACATTTAAAGAAGATGCAAACGATGGATATTGAGAAGCAGATACAGCAGGAGAAAACAACAACCTCCCTCTCCTCTCCCAGTCAATTTATCTCTCTTTTTTCTTCCTCCTCTCCATTTATCCCATTGTGTCTCCCAACCAGCAACCAGATTGATGGTATCAGCCAGTCTAGGTAAACTGAACAATTTCAGTCAATCTTAACAATCGTCTGTGATTCCAGCTCCCCATTATCAAACAATCAAAAAATGTTTAACCCTTTACCATCCACGTTTATAATTTGTTTGTAATTGTTTCATTGTACCTCATTACCATCCTTCAGTATCACTACTTTCTGATCGTTAACACATCTTCACTTCCATGCTTTGAAACATTCTAACAAAATATTCTCTAATTTCTCATTTTCTTATTGATTCCCCAGTTAACTTTTTCGGTACCATTTTTCTGGCACTGCTGTTAAATACTATATTTGAATTTTATGATCTCCTGTGACAATTCCCAAGCAAATCAGGTATTAGCTATCCAGAGTTTGAAGAAACAAAAAAGGCTATGCATACTACCGTTGATACATGCACTGTTTTGTACTCATTCTGTAGTTGTTAGTGGGCATAAAAGTGTAAAATATTTTAAGCCCTAGACTGTCTTATGGACTTGTTCACTCAGCCCTTTTTCCTTGACATTATATCAAATTTACCAACTCACAGATCACAATAATTTGACAATTTTTTATTCGTTTGGTTTTTATTTTAAAACCATTTCATTTCCAAATTATTAATTTTAACTTTGATTCTGTCTGATCTCGTCCAATGAGTCCTGCATGGTTTTATTACCTAATTCTAATTGTATCTGCTCCTAAAAAAACAGTTTGTAGTTTTCCATCGCAGGGTTTGTGAGTGTAATGCCAAACTATGAGTGCTAATACGACATTTTTGGCACACCTCATCAGGCATATGACAGCAGCCAAGCATGCATTCATGCCCATTTTGATGATGCTAAATCAAAAGATACATAATAGAAAATGATTAAATATGTTCATGGTCACCTTCTTAGCTTGTTGCCCTTTTGAATGTTCACCATCAGAACTTTCTTCAGAGCTGTCATCCTCATCTTCATCACTACTAGTGCTCTCCTTTTTGATAGCCTTTGTAGCAGGTTTACCAGCAGTAGATGGAACAGAATCCTACAAGATTAATATTTATCAAACCCTATGAGAAGTAAATGGAAGTGCAAATCTATTAATGCATATCAATTCATCATCAACCAACTCATCAAACTACCGGAACTTTTCGCTTCTTCAATTGTGGCTCCTCATCGCTCTCATCAGAACTCTCATCGCTCTCATCAGAACTTTCATCAACTTTAGTCTTGTTCTGAGGCACCTGAACACATAAAATTGAGAAGAACAGTCAAAATTTCTAAAACACAACAAATCTACAATATTAAGATACATAACAGCAAAGCATACAACATAAAGTACTTGCAAAAGTCATAAACACATAATAAAGAAGTTCTCTGAACCAAGTCCCATTCAACGATGCAAAAGAAGTTTGCAAAAGATCGAATTCCACAAGAAAAATTTTCTTGTCAATAGCTTCACCAATTAGCATAATCAGTGTAGTCAAAAGCTCTAAGCGCCAAAAATCAGCACGGTCCAAGTGTCCGAGACACTAAACACTCGCCCAAGCAAAGCGAGAAGCTCCCAAATATTATAATTTAAAAATTATATATCATGAATAATAAAAACAAACTAAAACAAAAATAACACATCAAACTTCCATTCATTTAAAGTACTAAATTACATTGTCCATATTCAATAACAAAATGATAAAATAAACCAAGATTAACATCAAAGAACATTAAAATCCATTTCATCATATTCAATCTTGTCACCATCTAAAGCTACAACAATCCAAAACACTAATAAGTAGCACTAATCACTACAGAAATAGCAATAATAATCAACATTTTACTACTGATTCACTAAAGCAGGCAGCAGCTGCTGTTCTCACAAACATAAACAAACAACAAAGACTAACAGCACAGCAGGCAGCTATTCGAAGTTTAAATTGATAAACATCAATGAAGTGGCAGCGGTGAACGGAGAATAGGGAGTGGAAGATGGAAGAGGGAAGATGCTGTAGGATTGGGTGCGGTGAATCGAGAAGAAGGCAACGGTGAAAGGGAATGAAGGCAGCGATGAACAGGGACAAAGGGAGTGGAAAATGGAAGAGGGAAGAGGATGTAGGATTGGCTGCGGTGAATGGAGAAGAAGGCAACGGTGAAAGGGAATGAAGGCAGTGATGGACGGGGAAGAGGGAAGACACTATAGGAGGGCTGCCGTGAATGGGGAAGAAGGCAGTGATGGATAGGGAAGAGGCTGCAGTGAACATAGGAGGGCTGCGAGGAACATGGAAGAAGGGAGTGATTAACAGGTCAGGAGGGGCAGAGAGAAGAGGGAAGAGGCTGTGGAGCGGCACAGTGAACAGGCAGAGGTACGAGGAGAAAGAGCGAGATGCCGGAAGGGAGGGGAAGCCATCGCTGCTGCCGCCAGAAGAAGATGCCACCATTGCCACTAGAGGAAGACGCTGTCGCTGCCACTGCTGTCATCATTCACCAATGGGAGGAACCCCGCAGCCGTGCAGAAACAGTGAGAAAGGGTTTCTGCGTTAGGGCTCGAGCGTGGACAGGTCTAAATCGAACTCTACAGTCATCAGCTCAGGGTCTAACTGGTTCGATCAAACCAGATACAATTAATTGGTTCAACTCAAGGTCAAATTGGTCTCAGTTGAACCAAGCAACCACCCGACTCACTTAGTGCCTAGGCCTCGCCTGAGTGAAGACACCCACCCAACCCAATAGGTGGGTGCTCAAGCCTCGCCTTGCCTCACCTAAGCACCTAGGTGAGTGCTTGAGCGCCCGATGACTTCACTAAGCGTAACAGGTCAAAAGTCTAAAATGATCAAAACAACAGAACAAGTACAAAAGCAGAATTTTAGTGAAAATATAGAGACATGACAAAGACAAAAAGCTAGAAACAGTGGAAATGATAGATCAAAATCTTCCTGATTACGACAATGTAAAAGGCAAAATAATTTGCAATTCGAATGCATGTATAAAAATTAACCAAGTTATTCTAGACAAAACAAATGTGCATCATTTTAACTAAGAAGAAGAGCAAATGTTCGCTTCTCAACAGTAGCCAGCCATTTGTACCTACCACTCATCAAAGAGACCAACTATGGCCACATTTGTTTAGAAATTTCTATAGTACAATTTACCAAAAATTCAAGAATTTTAATTTTAAAAAAAGAAATGAACTAGATAAGGGCTAGAGAGAAGAAATCCAGTTCAAACTAACATTCCATGTTCAATTAAAACCAAATACGGGTCAAATTAAAACTAGACACTATATTACCAAAAGGCCATAAGAATTAAGCGATAATAAACAAGCCACCTTCTTATCAGTTTGATTTTTGGAGGGTTCGTCATCAGAACTTTCTTCAGAGCTGTCATCCTCATCTTCGCTACTGCTTTCCTGTTTAACAGACTTGGATTAAGCTTGCCCACATTTTAAGAAAAAGAATCCTCTATGAAAAACAATCCAGAAACCAAGACAGGAACAAGGAAATTATATGGCAAATAAGACAAAAAAACTAGTGGTCTTTTTTATTTCATTGTGGCTCTTCATTAATCCCATCAGAACTCTCATCAACTTTAACATTATTTTGTAATTTCTCAGCACATAGCCCCATAAAAATAGTCAATACCTCATCTGAGCAAAATTATATAATATCCACTAAATATGACAAAATACAATCAAACTACTAGAATATCATGGCATTGCCTTAACATCAGTATCAACAAATCCTGGAAAATAAACTGTTCAAATTTTACATGTATTGGACTCGTCTGAAATTGAACAGAAGAAATTGAGCACTTTCAGAGAACGATTATGACCAAAAAGAATATGTACTCTTGACAAGTAGACAATTTCCAAATTCAATACTTATACCACTCCCTCAGACTGGCATGAAACTAGTACTGTATTCGCTGGTGCAGGCTGAATAAAATGAAAAACAGATCTAAGAAATGGTTGGTTGCTGATGGTTTGGAGATTGGATAGCTACTTGTTTCATGGCCTTAATTTGAGCTGTTGATTGATCAGATATTAATTCCTTGGGGTGTTCATCTAAAAAATTCATAATTTTGTATGTATCTCTATTCAAATACAAGCACATAAAATAATGTTGTCATCACAGTCCTAACCTCCTCTTATTTTATTCTCTTTCCTTCTTTTATGAGGGTTAGTCATGGCACAATCATGTAATCATGAATCACTTAAAACAATTTAAGGGCAATTCTGTGGATTTGCTGTGAACCAGCTTCATACACGTCAGTCAGCAACCTGCTCCTGGCTCAGACCAGCAGATACCAGGGGTTGTATCATAAGGTTTAATGCCTTGGCAACTGGAAACCAGAACCACATAAACTTAACACCTATATCGGACAATGAAACTTTGAAAAAGAGAACACCATCATGTGCAAAGAAGTAAACCGGAAAAATGGTCTAAAATGTGCATGCATGAAGATGGGGTTTAACTGTCACGAAAAGTATCAACTAATCAACATAACTTAGCACTATCATTTTTTTTCAATGAAACTCTAACAGCTTTTCATTCCAGGACTTTACATTACTATAAAGTACATGGAAAAGAAGTGAACTGAACTACCCATACCCTTGTATCCTTTGTATATTAAGTGTGTCCCCTTAAAACCCACTAATGCACCCCGGTCTGTTCGTTAATGCACAACAGCTTGCACCATTGCTTATTCAATTAAGCGTTAGCACAAGGGCTTCGCCCCTATTCTTTACTATTGCTTCTTTCGGTTCACCCTCTGCCTTACTTGTTAAAGTAATCTTTCATTCAATTTCCGAGTCATGTTTTACTCTGTGTTACAACATTTTGTGGAAACGAGTCCAAATATAGCATATCCAGTGATTTAAAAAGCGTTAGGCGCCAGAAGGCACCAAGGTCCAAAAACACTCGAGGCACTAGGCACTCGCCTGAACGAAACGAGGCACTAAAATATAAAAATATATAATATAATTAATAAATATAATTATTTAAATAAAAATATGACATTAAATTTAAAAAATCTTACAAAATCACATTAACAAAAAATCTCAAAATTCAAAACAATAACAATAATTTCAAATAAATAAAAATTAATAATATTAAAATTAAAATAATATATTTTTAATCTAATAAATAAAAAATATTATTACTAGTATACTGTTAATAGTATACTATCGAGTCGATGTAAGAGGAGGTAGTAACGAGCAACGAGAGCGGGAGAGGCGAGCGACGATAGTGGCAACGACAGCGGTAGCAACGAGAAGCGACAACGGCGAGCACCGACAATGGCAAGGCAACGATTGCAACGAGCAACGAAAGCGGGAGCGACGAGCAATGATAGTGCCAACAACAATGGTAGCGACGAGCAATGGCAACGACAACGGGAGCGACGATAGTGGCAACGATAGCGGGAGTGACGATAGTGGCAACGATAGCAGCAAGCAGCGACAACGATAATGACGAACAAGGTTACAGTTGGGAAGTCACGAGAGGAAGGCTGATATCGGTGCTTTAGTTGATTCAATTGAACCAACTAAAGTATCGAAGACCGAACCAGACCTAAAACGCTGGTTCGATTGCCTGGTTTAACCCGAGCGCTCGCCCGAAGCGCCCGACGCGTGGGCTCGGGCGAGCACCCAGACGATGCCTCTTTGAAGCGCACCGCCTAGAAATGAAGCGAGGTGCTCGGGCCTCACCTCGCCTGAGTACCTAGGCAACCACTCAAGCGCCTATTGAAATCATTGAGCATATCAATTGCTCTTGATTCTTCTCTAGTCTCAAGAGGTATCGCTGCACTAAATGTCATTACCCAACCCAGTGGGACAACTAACCCATCAATTTGATATAGACCTAAATCACACGATCTAAATTGCAAGTTAATGATAGTAGATTCTTGTCACCCTATAAATTGGTTCATTCTCCTCCCACATCTGATGTGGTTTAGATGTGGAATTAAACGGGACATCACAATCTCTCATATATTTTAGGCTTCACATCTCATCAAGGCTCAAGAATAGCCCAAAATCACCCCTAGTTGTGAGGCACAGCCCCAATCCTTGTGAAGGATCAAATATAGCTCAGAATCACTCTAGTAAAGCATGTGAGGCACAATCAATAGTTGACTCATATCATGTCTCTAATATAATTTCAAATGTGACTATCCAATTAACATGGCATGGGACTACATCACATCAACTAAAATTCTTATCAATAATTTGATAACAATAGACTTATACAGCCTCACAAATCAACTCAATTTTCTGTGCATCCATGATCTTACCCGGCACTAGATTGGGATGTCTTAACAAAAATATCATATGATTCCCTAATTGATAACAAAAAATAAGGGGTTGCATCATAGTAAATTAAATCTACACAATAAGGTAGTGAAATTGCAAGGTAACATTGTATTATAACAAAGACAAGAAAAGGGTAAATACCTGTTTCTCTATGGCAGCCTGCTTTTTCACAGGTAGACTAACCTTTGCTGAAGGTGCCTGCATCGCACATTAAAGAGGATATACTATAGTAAACTGACACTGAAAGTTTACGAGAAACAATGACAAGTAACCATAAATTTCGTGAAGAATTGCACAACAATCATGGTAAAATTCAGAAAGAATCAAATCAGTTTGACCTGAATATTTCATCGCTTTCTAAACCATCTATCAATTCCAAACATACCACAAGCTAAAACACCAAGAACAAAGAAAACTCACCATGATCTGTGTCATACCTTTTCTAGAGATAACATGAAACATCAAACAAAAGGAACTAAAAGGTACACCACCACAAGCATGTGATGTCATTAAAAAAAGAACATAAGACTTGTGTATGCGCTCTGTCATATGCACTAGAAAAGCATGCTAAGAAAATAAAATTCTACTTTTGAACTTCCAACATGAAGTACCAGCATGGTTTCCCAAAACCACTTGGAAATCCTTCCCTAAAACTTGCTTCAAGAAGTAAAGATTTCACTATTTGACATGATCCATATACCAAAGACAACAAGAAAAAGAACAGTATCAGGTTCACACAAAACCACTACAAAGCACAAAAACACCAGACATGAATGAGACGGCATGATACCACAAGATGGCATGATAACTGGTGCAGACAGATATAACATGCTACAAAATACAATACAAATACTCATCTACAACAGCCACATGCTTCTACTGCACGATATATTACACTATAACAGCAAGTAATTAATGTTAAATAATTACTATGAGACTTACAAGATATCCACAACATCTATGAGACTTAGAAAGTATAGAGAGATTTCCATAGTCATTAATGTCAAATAACAACAGAATTTGGCACAGAAAGAATGTGTCTTACAGCAAACAGGAAACAATGACAATGCTTGGTTGGGTCATTAAATAAAATAGTATTTCAGGAGTCCATTCCACACACCAACAGAATGGGCAAATGTTGGTTCCAGGAGGTGTCCTATAGACATGCAGTTTTCTACATTAATCTAGTTGCTTATTGATAATAAATCTGAAATCTTTGGTCTGATGAATATATCTTCAAACATACTAATTCTTTTGTTAAGTATAAAGAGATCAAAAACTAGAGAGCACTTCGGTCCCGTTTTGCCACTACCATTGTTTCCATAATGGAAAAAAAAAAACAAGTTCATTATAAGTAAAAGAACTCTGGCACAGCATTAAATTACATTATAAATCTGAAACATGCAATTACTAGTACAGTTTCCATAAAGAACATAAACTATATTTGCACCTAAACTTCAATAAACCATTAATAGAATCGTCACAAGCACATAACCATGACAAGCATCAATAGGAGAACATAATTACAATATATCATCCTTCAGGGTAGTATTACACCAGAGTCTCAGGCTTACCTTATCCTCATCAGAATCTGACTCGCTGTCTGAAGTATCACTGGATTCTTCTTGCTTTTTCAAACCAGTCGCTGGAGTTGCTTGCTTCTTAGCTGCTGGAATAACCTTGGTTGTTACAGGAGCATCTTCCTGCAAAATTGGCAAGCACTTAAATCAAGTCAAACAGGCAAATTCATAACATATATATACGACTTATTCTAGTATTTACAAATGTTAAAAGAAAAAAAGAATATGGTTCCCCCACATAATTGGGCTGAGCTACAATGTATTGAGGGCAACATCACCAGATGGCACTTCTAATATACAACTTAGAAGCAAAAATTTAATAAAGCTAAACAAAATGTTAAACTGCTTGCATCTTCATCTGAATCATCCGAACTACTGTCAGAATCTGAACTATCACTTGATTCCTGTTTCTTTTTAGATACTACAGGTGTGCCATTCTTCAGGCTAGCTGATGGAAACTTCTTGGGCTGCAGTGCAGCTTTAGCAGGTTTCTGTGATTCAAGCCACATTTACAATTAAGCATGTAATAACAGAGAAATAAATTCCACAACATGTGGCTTTTGGCTTTTTTGTGCCAAGATCATATTGACAATTTAATGACTCTACACCGATGAATTCATAATTTTTGCCCCCAATGAAATAAGACCTACTTAAGAGCTTTAATGTAAAAAAAAAACTTTAATAGCATGATGTTGAGACTTCAAATTGGGTTCCTAAGTGCATCATGACTGCAGTTGTAACAACAGAAATTTGGAGCTTACTTAGAAAAGTTACACCATGATTTATCCCTGAAAAATAATAGATTTGACCCAGAAAGGCTAAGCCATAAGAATAAACTCACTTCATCCTCTTCTGAATCACTTTCTGAACTGCTCTCTGATTTTCCTTTTTGGGCTGCAGCACTGGCAGAACCATTCTTGGAGACAGTAACTGCAACCTTTTTAGCTGGAGCAGCAGCAGGTTTCGAAGGTTCCTGCACAATATGAAATATTCCTAATTTTGTCATCAAAATAAGAGAGATGATGAAAAACTGCCAGTATTAATTTTATAGACTCTTTACATCATCTGAAGAGGATTCCTCGCTGCTATCACTAGACTCCTTTGGAGGAGGCTTTGTTGGTTTACCTTGCTTCTTTGGAGGAACTTTTACCTACAAAGTCAACTCTCTCAAGTAAGAATTTGAAATATTACCGTTACCAGCAAAACCAACATATTATTATAATAACATTAACATGTTGAATGAAAAAGAAAAACCTCAGTATTCCAATATGTAAAAGAAAAACCACCAGATGCTGCACAATATGATTTACCATTATTTGCAAAGCATCACTTTTAACTATCGTGTGTTGTTAACAAATAAATGGGATGCTATTCTTAAGGACAACACAGTTCTTAAATTTGGTAGAAATTAAGAATCAGCATGGTATGACATATGCAAACTTCAATCATGATAAATACATCCTGCTGAAAGATATATCCGCAGATGGCTTTTGCAACACGTTAAAGAAAAAAATCATGCAAATGCAATCACAGCAGTACAAGATTGCTACATTACTCCCTTGCCCTATTGTATGAAAATCACGAAGTACAGTGATAACACACCTCCTCTTCAGATTCAGAGGAAGTTTCATCCTCTGAACTACTTTCAGGTTTCTTTTTTGAAGGAACCTCCTGTAAAAACTTCTTAGGCTTCTTAATGTCCTTTTGGGGAACAACCTCCTTGACTTCTCTCTTCTGCTTCTTGGCACTTGCTGCTTTCTCTATTGCCTCTTCGGCATCCCTCTTGCCTGGACAATTAAATAGTCAGATGTCATCAACGCTCATACAAAATAAACAAAATTAATATAGCCTTTTTATGCCCAGTAAATTAATTTGTGCTGACCTTTTTTACCAGATTTTCCAGACAGCATTGGTGCCACAGCTGCTACCACCTGTATGACATTTGTGACTTTTCAACATTTTGAACAAAAAAAGGTCCTTCAAAGCTGGAACTTTAAAGTTTAATATTACCTCAGTACTCGCCTTCTTGTTTGACTTGCCCATTTAGTGATGCTAGAGGGTAGTCAGACCCTAATAAAACAAAAAAACACAAGTCACAAACGGATCCCAAATGACAATTTTCATTCACGACGTAAAAGAATTTGACACGCTAAATTTCCAAAAGCATACTTAGGTTGTCGAATATAATTTACTATAGATACGAGCAATGACTATTTCAATTTCTTGGCAAGTAAAAATGTTTGAGAAAATAAAGAAAGAGAAATATCCAAACGAACAGAAAACCTGAAAAAAGAAACACAAAAGATCTCCTAAAATTTCAATAAGCAATATAGTCGCCAACAAACTTATGCACAAACCACAAAGATACAATCTTTATTATCGATTCAACGTCTACACTACAAAAGGCCGCGAACTTACAAGATAACACAGCTAGAACGACGGGAGCAACCAATAATAAAGATGTTCATGGATCCAAAAACCACAGAGAGAAAAAAAAACAGCGCGACGCGGTACAAAAAACTAACTAAAAATCTTGAGCTCAGACGAAAAGCAGCACGAAACAAGGAAAATCGGAGAAAATAAGAGAAACGAGTAAGGAGTAACAAGAAAAGAGAAAGGCACAAGCATTCAACTCGATTACCTCGAGTAAGGAGAAAAGAAGAGAAACGAGAAGGATACAAGGCAAATCGGAGGTTGGAGGCGGACAAAACGAACCCTAACCTGAAGCGTTAGGGTTTTAGAAGGGCTTCGTTTAGCCGAGGATCGAAGCCTTATATAGGAGGATGTGTGAAGCATGGCATTCGATTTAGGGCTTCGTTGGGTCGGCCGACATTAAAACGCCGCCAGGTCCGGCCGATCCGGTTCAGCTCTAAGGAGTGTCGACCGGGCGGGTCGGACCATAATTTGCTATTAAGGTCGAGTATCAACAATATCTAAGTTCTTCCTCGTATATTGATATCGAAGGGATACTAAATTCTTTAATTATATTTGTTTGATACAAATTATTAATGTCGATTTTGATCATCATAATATTCACACCAAATCAAAGAAGAAAAAGTTTCAACCTACCCTCATAGGGTTCGAGTCGAGGTTCGAAGATCTGACCAATCAAAATAAGAAAAAGAACAGATACAACAATAACAAAATATATAGAGCAATCTTGAGAGGTAACAAAGAATATGCATAGCACTAAAGAAGATGTACAGATATACCCTGCAAGCATTTACCTTCACATGATATCATTCAACATGCTGCCTCACAAATCAAACAATAATGAAAGTTGGACGCAGCACAAGTGAATCAGAATAGCATATACACTCGTTTCAACAAAATCCTCGGCAGATGCCGGGAGAAGAGCTTCCTGTTCTAACCAGTGACAGCATTGTTACCATCACCAATGTCAAAAAAAGATTAGACACAGACAACAAGAGGCAGGCAAAGCTTCTACATTACAGGGAGGTCGGAAACAATGTAGAAGAATCATCAAAGTTGTCATCTGAAGTTGCAACAGTGAGCTCGACCCCTGGCCAGCTTGTCCCAGAGGCAGAGCATTTGCCTGGGAGACTGATAATGAGCAGTGTAATAGTTCTCCATGCATCCATACTGACAGAACTTCCAACTATGCGAGTATTGTATGGCCATCGAGGAGTTGTACTGTTTGACCCACATGCCCATACTCACATCCTCCATCTTGAACAGCTGCAAGAACATTAACAGAATCCATGTCAGATGCTACTAAATCTTGTATTGGCGACACAGTTTCTTATGGAATCGTGTCTCTCACCCTTAGGCTTTGGTTGGCATTCTGAGAATCGATGAACTTTGCAATGTCTCTTGAAATTATGTAGCCAGGTCCATTAGCATAGGGTGGGTATATGTACCCTGGCCACTCCTGTATACACCACAGTCAAATTTACATGAGAACATCAAATGTTTTCTGGTAATAATATGAGGACAAGAAAAGAAGGTGCAGCCATTTTCACACATCAACCAAAAGTTCACATGAATATTAAATTAGGCAGATCATATAATGGCTGTGATCCATAAACAGTCTGTCGTCCTGTTTACATGAGAATTACAGTATTCATAAAACCACAGCCAATTTCACTTGCTATGAGTTTATTATAGTCAATGAGTTAACTGCCATGACTTTGCAAAGAAGAGAAAACTTGATTAATCCAAGGCCTTCTATCAGGAGCCCTAAAAGTTATAGTTCAAACTTCATACCTCATATGATACAGCCCATTTTCCATGCCTGAGAGGTCTATGCAAGAGATTAAGGTTCCCCATGTACAACGGCTTTTCTTGAGAGACCCGCTTTATTTCTTTTAAGACAACATCAACCCTTATGAAAGTATCATCGTCACACTTCATGATGTATGGAGTGGTTAAGTTGTGAACCTGTATGGTGATAAAGTTATTACTGAACATTGTACATGGAACTGCATTAACATGATGATGCACCACAGGGATAGGGGAAAATAGGACAAAGATGCTAACTCACCCCATAATCACAAATGGCAATCGTTTTAAGAACGACCAGCTCATAACGATCCATAAATGGCAAAATTACAATATCTTGAAAATATTCTGCTTCTTTCTTTAGCATGGTGTTTACCTCCTTCCTCAGATTCTGCAAGCACAATTGAAATGGTAAAAGTCAGGTTTGCAAATATAACATTAAAAAAGATTATAATTCTATCCAAAATTTAGCAACACAGGAGCATTCAGTATAGCCAATTAGATGTTCCCTGGCAAAGCTGGGTAACCCTCTTGTAAAAGCTTCTTTGTCATTGTCTTATTTAGACTATTAGGCATCACATGATTGAGTTTCACAGGAAGATTTCTATATTCCATTTCAAACTAAACATTTTGGTCTAACCAAATTTCACAACCCTTAAGTTACATGATTAGGTTTCAATTTCAGAAAAATGCACTTAAGTTAGACAGCTATATCAAAATTCTCACAGCGGTATGTATAAATTAGCATCTGGTATCAATTCCCATGCATATGTGTTTTATTTAAAGCCCTATAGTAATATGTTTAAAGAAAAAACTTACTAATGCAACAAAGAAACGAGCCACCACATTAGATGACTTGATTTGAGAAGATTGCATCCATGTTTTTCTAACAGCCATGCGTTCAGCAAAATGATTTGAAGCAGAAATAATTCCAATAAAAAGATCAACTGTACTTTCTGGCAAAGGAGGAGACCTCCAATTTTCTGACATTTCCAAGACACGATCAGGCGAAAAACTGGAATGAGATGTGGGAAGCGAAGTGGCAAACACTGAGTGTACATCAACATCTCCTTTTATTGCTAATCCAGTGGCATCTTCGAGAGTGAATCCCTGAAAACCAAACAACTACTCTGTGAGAAACTACATGATACACTTGATGATAGTTCTTCAAGATCACAACAATAAAATGGTGTTTAACATTAAGAAAATAACGAAGCATCCCAACTAGTTTACCGGCCGATATGGGAATGAAGCTACATGTCGACCCCCAACAAAAATTTGATATCCTTCAAAACCAGCTTGCAGTGTTAAGACAAACAGCCTGCTTTCTACAAAAGGAAAAGACCATGTCATTTCTGGCTTCTTTGCTCGACCTATAAATCTCCTTAGCCAAGAGGTAGTTTTAGATTCTTTCAAATCTATCATATCACTGCGAGCCCATTTCTCACATTTTTTGAATCCATCAACTGTCCAAAAAGAAGATTGAAATTTTGAATACTTTAGCCATATCTGCAAAAGCCTGAAGATCAAAAGAATTCATTTGACATACTTAAAATCATTAGTCATCGTAGTCAGCATATCATTATCACTAAAAATAAACAACTATGAATTCATTCAGGTTTGGTTCGATCATGAGCATCAACAATGTTATTAATATATTGTGGCAAAAACACATTGGGAAAATTAAAATGTACCTGTCTACGGAATGGTTGACTATGGATGAAAATAAAATGGTAGGCTTATGCAAGTATTTTTTTATGTGCCTTAAAGTTAGAATACTTTCTGCAATCTGACTTCACACTGCAGGCTGGGTTGTTTTCATGCAAATTGAAAGAAAGCCTAAGAACCTGAAAATATTAGTAAAAAGGGTACTAAAATTTGTTAGAAGGCCAAAGAAGATAACGATGCATTCTAGGTAGAATAACAGATAGAGATTATCAAATATTGGAAGTACAGATTTGCATTCTACATCATAACACCAAAGCTCCTTACTTAAGAGTTAAGATCATATTTTACTCTTTCTTACAGATGACAACCTAAGTTATAATCAGTTCACGTTTTCACACTTCTTTGGGAATACAAGTAAAATTCCTAAAGAAGTACATAACAAGCACGTATCTTTAGTACATATGCAGTTTGTTGTTCAATGAGAAATGCTTCTGAGTTAATAGGGTAGATCAGACATACTAGACTGTGCAGAAATAACTTTGCAAACCTAAGGTCTGATGTTTTTTAGCCATACAATCTCACTAATGTGCCTCAGTCACATGTCATAGCTCAACACCAGATGGCACATACCATGCTAGCCTGTTCAAGTGAGCATATCACATTTTACCTCATGTCTTCGACAAAATTTAAGCAAGATATTGTAGAGTTTTAACTTTTTAACAAGATTAGAAATTCAAGTGATAGCAGTGGATGTAGCACTGATCAGAGACAACAATGATGAACGATCTGCAATTGAAAATAGTCAGAGAAGGTGTGATGGCTGTGAAGATGGCTGAAAAGTTTGCATAAGTCAGAATTTATTATATGTAATTTACAAGCAATGAATCAAAGAAGAGAGTAAGTAATTGCCTGAGTGCAATTCATCAATGATAGGGCATATTTTGGCATCGCCCACGTGGACCCAAGCAAGCAGACACGACGATGCAGACGTGGAACCTCAAGTACGATGTGGCGCCTAGCACACACGTGGCGGGCAGCCGCTTGCCACCCCCTCCGTACGAACAACATCATCATGGTACAGCCATCCCGGAAAGCTCAAGGCGGCGTCGATCCTTGTAGGTCGGTCGGCACTCATACAAAAGCTTAAGTCGATCGCCCGAGGAGCCAGCCATAGTAAATTGACCCCGTACGACCAACTCATCCTCGTAGGTATAAAAACTAACCCTCCCTAATCAGGAGGGGGAGGCATTTCGAACTCTCAACTCTCTCATACATACTATTGATTTGAGTTTCGGAGGGGTCGAGTCGGGAAATCCCCCTCCTAACCTCGACCTGTGTGCAGGAGCCCAACGACGGAGAAGCAAGCCACTCGCCAAGAGAGAAGACCATACTCGAACCCGACCCGACGCTCGCCCTCACCACCTGAGCATCCACGTGGGCGACCTTGTACATCGGGGACTAGACCGAGCTGTGTTGACACCTCGGCCACGACGTAAAGGTTCACCAATATTTTGACGCTAGAAGGAGGGCCTGATGTCGCAAGGACACCCCCAACCGAGCAACCCGAGAGAGCTCCCCGGAGAAGAGCCACCCCCGACTCACCTGACCTTCGGGTTTGGAGGGCAACTCTCACTTCCTCTAAGCATAGAAGGAAATATCTCGACCGCGACCCCGAGCCGCTATTGGCGACTATTCAATGATCTCGAGTTGTCTCCTCCCGAGATCATCATGGTGCAACCTGCTGTCTCAGCCGAGGCAATTCTCAACCTCACCCGCCATGTGCAAGCTTTAGTTGGGATGATGCAGACCATCGCACCCCTCATACCTCAGCTAGCTCAGCAGACGATTCATCCCCCATGGTCGTCGCCCGTGATCCAACCTACGCTCATCCCTACACCTCACAATGCCACCCTAGTCGACCGTAGTAAATTGACCCTGTACGACCAACTCATCCTCGCAGGTATAAAAGCTAACCCTCCCTAATCAGGAGGGGGAGGCATTTCGAACTTTCAACTCTCTCATACATACTATTGACTTAAGCTTCGGAGGGGTCGAGTCGGGAAATCCCTCTCCCGACCTCGACTTGTATGCAGGAGTCCAACGACGGAGAAGCAGGCCACTCGCCAAGAGAGAAGACCGTGCTTGAACCCGACCCGACCCGACACTCACCTTCACCACCCGAGCATCCACGTGGGCGACCTTGTACATCGGGGACTGGACCGAGCCATGCTGACACCTCGGCCATGGCATAAAGGTTCACCAACAATCAACAAACCCTCTTAAATTTCGAAAGCTACACAAATACCTACATATATATGTCAAACTTTTCATATGCTTGATTAATTTTAGTTAACTGATGATCAATGTTGAAACTTCCATTAGCTTATGGCTGGAAACCAAAATTAGCAGTTAATTAATTAATCAACTACTTCGACTACTGCTCCAACTAATATTTCTAACTTTAGATTAATGACTTAATCGGCTATTTTAGTTACTACTCCAAGTCTCCAACTATTGATTCAATTAATATTTTTACTTAATTTTATTGAATAAATTATTTAAATAGGTTT